TATCCAACTGATTTTGTCGAATTTTGAGTCTTGAAAGTAGGCACAACATATCTGGATTGCTGACAGATTCATGTTTGAAAGAATGTTTTGAAAACTAAATCATCTTATTCTATATATATATACAACAAAATAATTGTAATTTATATATATTTAAATTATTATTTTGCTGTTTAATAATATTGACATGAATTCCAAATTTTTCAATATATTAATTTTAAACTTTTTGTCATCCACAGAATATATAATTTAACTGAACTGTAAATGTAAAACCATTCACAACTTAATCTAATCATTTTTTTCTCATTCTCATTTTCAGAATTAAATCATTTTTAGCATTAATTTTGAAAATGGGTTAATGTAATTCTTGTATTACAAATATTAATAATGTTTATGGATGTTATGTGCTGCTTTTAATTTTAACTTTAAAATTGTAGGACATGGAATTAATCCATTATTCTGAAATGCACATACATACTGGTAATTTACAGTCTCCCCTTTTCCATTACAGAATAAATAAAAAGTAATCAATTTCATTATGCATATGACTATTAAAATAAGCATAATTAAATTCAGTTAGAATGACATTGGAAATATCTTATTCTTCTGCAAAATAATTTTTTCTTACTAAAATCAATTAACATGAAATTAAATTACAGTATTATATATATTTAACGTAATATCCATGTTTATCCCAAGATATCCTTGTTGAAATTTAAATTAAAATCATTCAATATGCTAAATATATAACAAAAAATTAATAAATTGTAACAAGTTACCACTCTTAGTTTAGGAAATACTTGTTTTTTATTGATAAAATGTTTTTGACCATACATTCCATCATCAGTTTTCTTCATATATTTAAAAAAATCTATGCTGTTTATTAACACCTTCCATGATTGTGATATGTAAGTTTGATGCATATACTATGTCTGTATTAAAAATTAAAATATATACTTGTTCTAAGAGCCATAGTGATACTTTGCCACTTCTTTGGAATAAAGTCATACTGTTAAGACAATGTACTGTAACAAGTGGTGTGTTGGAACTGGCTTGTGCAAGTCTGTTGTTACCATTTTTTTAAAATTTAGTGAGCTGGTTGTTAAAATTCTTAATGAATGGATAATGAAGGATAAACAGTTTTACATATTAAAAGCTATGACTTCTATTTAATCATACAGTTCTAATAACAATAAAAATACAATGTTTTCTGAATTAGAACTACACAAAGTAACACACATTCAATATTTTTCTATCTCTCTAAGAAAAATTTTCCTAAATATAATTTCATTGTCTTTTCTTCTTGAATGAAGAAGAAATATTTAAAAATAAACTCCAGTGTAAGTTTATTGATTCTTCACTGGTTGTACTACTAGATTTGTTAGATGAATCCTCTTGGCCCTATGAAAAATTAACTTCACTGTGAATGTAAAGTGAAAGAAAATTAGATTGATTAAATGAAGTTTTGAAATTCAAAATAAATGTAAATGATTACAGAGATTTTGTAGATGATACTATAGAGGGAAAACTTGCATCAGTTCCTGAAAAAATTATTTTTCTAGCTTTTCTAAGTGATAGTCTTATTTACCTTTTGTGATATTCTTTAATAGTGTGTTTATATTTTTATTTTATTTCTCAAAAGACACTGTGGCCAGGTTGGTCTTTTACAAGCATCTTACAGCAAAAATCAACAAAACCAACAAAAAAAAAAAAAAAAAAAAAACAGGACGCGAGCTGAGAAAGAAAATTAATTAAGAACAAATATCATTGCATCTTAAGTTAGTTTTCCATTTTTTACATTTTTTTCTGAAGATTTCATAACTCGATATGTTACGTAAATCGTTGCACAGACTATTCCAATAGAAGATTAATTGAAAAATCGGTGCAGATCTCCCCACCTCTAGTCCACCTTCAGGGACATTAATTCATTACTTCTTTATACATATAGATTCTATCACATTTGTTTTAAAGCAATGGTTCCCAATTAATGGTAGGCGTACCCCGAGGGGTACACGAAATTGCATGAAGGGGTACGTGCAGCAATCTAAAATTGGTGGATTTAAAATTTGAATGCATGAGATGAAGCAATCAAAAAAATAATTGGTGGACCATCAAAAATTTGGCAATTTACAACATGATGTCGAATGCACAAATTCTTTTATTTATAACTAAATATATTCTCAAAATTTCATCAAAAAATGCATTTGTGACAATACCTAAATGAAATTCTTGAGCAAGAAACAAAAATTGTACAATTAACACAATTTGTGTTAATTGTACAATTATCATCATCATCATGTCAGCGAAGCGGCAATAAAATATTTTCTACCATTTTGCACGACATACCTCTGCAAGAGCAGACTTTCAGCCATGACAAACATGAAAACTAAACATTGTCACCGACTTCAACTCGAAGATAACTTGAGACTGAAGCTGACCAAAAAGCAACCAGATTTTACAAAGTTGTGCAAAGAAAATTGTGCACATTTGTCACATTAAAATTAAATAACCTTATGTTATTTTCATTATTATTAGAATTGTATTTTAAAGGTAATAAATGTAAAAAAAACTTATCTATTTATCACTTGCTGTCTACCCACAGCTTCGCCCGCATTATATCAAATTTTCTCGTGGGAGTAAGATATTTTCTCGCAGTAAAATGTAGCCTATGTCCATCTGCAACATGCAGGCTATCTCTGTGCCAAATTTTATTAAAACCTGTTCAGCGGTTTAGACATGAAAAAGTGACAGACAGACAGAATTATCTTCGAATTTATAATATTAGTATGGATTAATATGAATTTCTGCTATAAGGGGTATGCAAGTTTGAGCTCTTTCTTGAAGTGATATGCAGGAAAAACTAATTGGGAACCACTGTTTTAATGCAAAAATATGTTATATTGTGTCATGGTGGCACATAGATCTGTAGCTGTTACTGGTCTTCTGTGACCTCCTCCAACATTTTTCAGAAAGAGAACTGTAGAATATTTTATATAAAAGTATTTTATATTATATTATATATTGCATTCTGTATTATGAAATATTTATTATTATTATTGTTTTATAAATAATAAGTCTTTAAAAACAGGTCTATAAATATTATGGGTAATCATTTTTACTAAAAAGTAAACTAAAGTTATTTGTGAAAAAACTTAGCTACTGCTGTTAGAATCTTTAAAAGGTTAAAATATAATGTATAACTACTAATTGCCCAAATTAATTTTAAAAACGTATTGATTATTCAGATAAAGATTCTGTTTTTGAAATTTGTGCTTATTTAATAGTAATCAAAAATAATAACTGTAAAAGAAATTAAAAGCAAAGAATTCTAGAAAATAAAAAAAAAAAACAATAGATTCTGGTGTCCTTAAATTCAAATTGATGTCATCCAATGACCACCTCGATTCTATTTCAAAATTTTATATTTAAAACAAACTATTATTCTTGATATATTTTTATCTAATCTAATTGGATGTCATTATATATTTTATCTTAAGCTAAAACTTCACTTGCTTCACACTGACTTTTACAATAAAGACAATGAAAATCTTTTATTAAAAATAATAGAATAGATTACAACATTTGAGGTAATTATTTTCTATATTATTGTTTTAAAATAAAACTTGACTTGAAAAGCCTCAAGACAATAATTATTTGAATTGCTTCAACTGCCATACTAAATTCTCCTAATTCCTCAAAGATTAACTGCTAGAAATTTTTGCAACTCATAACAGAAGAAACAGAATATCAAACAGGATGTTCTGTTTCTTCTCATTCTGAGATTAATTTCTGCTTGAGCTTAAAGTTATGAGTTTTTTAAATAAAATTCTTCACTTGTTTAATATTGTCACTGTTAGTTTAAAGAATTGAGTAATGACTGTATTAATGATTGTTGTATTCAATGTGAAATCTCCATACTTTACTGTAAGTAAAATCAGTTTGCAAATATATTAAAATCATATGTTGGTCACTTAAAAAATGAAACAAATACAATCCCTGAAAGCTTTTGTCTTAATAGTTTAATTCCAAATGCGACCAACATGGTGTTTGCCATTTTTAAAAATATGTTGTTAAAAAAAATTATCCTTTATTGTCACATTGATAAGACTGGGAGGAATTACGTGACATGATGATATTCTGGTGGTCATGATAGTTAATGCCTCCTTGAAACGGACAAGAATTCAAATTTTGCAATAAAATTGACCCTTAGTGCACTTTATCCAATCACTATAATAACCATGATAATTTGCCATTATTAGCAAGGAATGTGTGGCAATATTTGTTCCATTCAGTTTTGTGAAAATGGTGTGTATTTATAGTTACCTTGTGCTTACCAGTTGCAGCAATTATGCTGCCCAAATATAGTAAGAATGTATAAAACATTATTATAACAATTGTTTAAGGAGTTGATTTTCAGACTTTAGTCTTTTTGTCTAATCCAGTCTATTTTTGCCATATATAATGTAAACTTTTAATGTAAATTTAAAATTCCCTTAATTATCATCAGAACACATTTGTGTATTACCCGTTGTATCTCGATGTACTACAAGACAGAAACACTAGATTTGGAAGGTTGAGGCTACATACAAACTTTAACTGCCAAATATTTCTACTCTTGGATATGGTTTATTGGAATTTTGTTTTATTTGATGGAATCTTCCATATAACAATAGTTATTGTTAATATGCATTAATGAAACTTAAACATCATGAGCAAACAACAGAAATGTAGAATATTTTTTGTAACTGATTGAAATTCCTTTTTGAATTCTTACAGGTTATTTTTATGCTACATTTTTAGTGTTGAGTCAAAAATTTTAACTCCTTGTTTATCAAATAAAGTATAAAAATAATTGCTCATTGACTAGATTAAGTTGTTGGAAATTTCAAAGCCAAATGAAATAACAATCTGAATAAATAATAACAAATATGTTCATTGCTTATTTATACTTGTTACTTGCAAAATTTACAGTATTAAAAGCCTATACCAATGATCTTTTTCAGATCAGATTACGTCATCCATGTTACTGTCATCGTCAATAACACCCTGGCACAGTATAGAACCCAGTATGAAGGGAGTGAGCATCTCTCCCAATCCATCTATTCGGCTTTATTACTACAACAGACAGGATGGTAAAATTTTAGATTATGATCACTTCTTCTTGAATTTAACAAAGGCAAACAACCTTTTTGACAGAGTAAGTAATTGTAATTAAAATATCGATTAACTGTATATGATTATGCAGCATTAAGAAATTTTTTACAGAAACTTGACAATCAAGAGAATGACTCTTCTGAATTCACTTGGAAATTGTTTTACACTTTCACAAAAGAATATGAATTGGAAGACGTGACCACTCGGTCTCTCGAAGAACTGTTCAAGAAGCTGAAAACAAAACCGGGTTTCTTTGAAAAGTATTACAACTTCACAACAGTTGGAAAGGATAATGGTCTCTGCGACAAAATCTGCATAAGACTGCATCTGTGTGCAATCTCTTTCCAAAATCACCATAACTACAGCAGTTGCGTGAAAATACCAGAGCAGCAAATCAGGAGCATCATCGAGACCACCACTCCGGTACCATTCCGTGAACCTGCAGCACCACAAGACACACGCAAGCGGCCCAATTCTGCCTCATCCCGTAACATTCTCATTGGATGCACTCTGTCACTGCTGGTCCTGATCATGATACTTGTGGTGGTCTACATAAAGAGATCGCGTCTTGCCAGGGGGCCGAGATTCGTAAGATTTCAATAAATGTCATATATTCCGAATATCAGAATTAAGTCTTTTATTTAAATTTGATATTTGGAGACATTGCAACACAGAAGCCATGGCACAGTATATCAAAGAAATAATATATATTGATATTTAGTGAATTTGTTAAAAGGTCAACTTAACTTATGAAAGAGCAACCCACATTTTGCAAGTTTGTATAGTTGTTGTTGTTGTTAAATTATATTTGCACAAGAATTTTAAAAATATTTAAATAAATATCAAGAGACTTTAAGCAGAAGTTTTAGAGATAAATTTGGAAGATAAAAAGTTGCATTGTTTTGTTAAACACTCACCAAACTAAATGGAATTAAGATGTCAAAAAATTAAGTATTCTGGTGCTACTTTGGTAAAAATACAGCAGATAAAACCACAATGTATTATAAAAAAAATCAATTGTATAATGGTTTTTATTGCTTATATATTGTAATGTTGTTTAAAATAAATTTTTATATTTAATATTGAAAAACTATAATTATTGTTGGCAATTTTAACAAATTTTGCTGCTGTTTTTACGTGCACAGTTTGGCATTTGTTAATGGCAATTACTATCTTTAAATTCCTTCACTATAGAACATTGGTGTGTTGCAGTGAAACAGCTTTTGCAGGGGCATGTTATGTTTTATAAATGATATTTGAACATTTAGTATGTGGCATTTGTATTGTTTTCCAAATTAGTACATACATTGAAATAAGATTAACAAGCAGCTTAGAGAGTCATAGATACCTTTTTTATTCCAAACAGAATGAAAGCAATTGCAAGCAATTGAAATTTACATAATTTTATCTATTGTCAATAATGGATACAGATAAAAGGAACATATTTCACGGGGACGCGTTGGATGGTTTTGCTTGGAAAGTAATTTTTCGTCTGTGGCGCGAGATACTTCAGTCGTCACGTGCGCGAGTTGCAGTATCTGGCTACGGGAATATCCAGAGGTGACTGAATCTAATGCTACGTTAAGCCCATATTTTGTCAGAGCATTAGCAGTTTCTTCTCCTGGTTAAATTTCTGATGCCTTCCCCATTACATCATGAATAGTTCTGCATGTATTTATGTGTATATATATATATATTTTTATACGTATAAGAAACATAGCCAGATGATCATCGCTCGCATAGAAATATTTCTGCAAACATCAATTTTACATTTATCTTTTGTATATTATACAATTGCTAAGTAATTTTTCATTAACTTGAGTGACTAGTTGATTTTCATTTAGAAAAATCTTCATGCATTAGTTTCAAATTTATTGATAAATAATTTCCAGTGCAAATAATTTACACCATAATCTACATTAAAAAATTTTCCAGCCGCACCATAAAATTTTGTCACTCAAAAGAAACATAAACTAACAGTGGCGACAATCTCACCGTCTGTCCATAAAAGTTGTGCAAAGAACAACCGACAGAGGAAAAGGGACAAAAATGACCAGTTTTTGAGATTGCAGACATTGCAATCCACAAAAAGTGTCAGGCTACTCGGAAAAAGTATGGAACAGAATATAATTAAGAATACGTCAACAGAGTCTTAAGCACTCGAGCATAAAAATAAATTAAATTGACATGGCAACAAATAACAGGAACTATGTTCTTACAATCGTCTATGATTTTAGAGTAAATAAAAAATATGGCCTATGCAATAGTCTACACACATTTCAAAAACAACAAAAAAATTTGTAGCAAAAAATTTAAATAAATACTTTTCTATATGGTACAAATCCCAGATAAATAATCACTTTTTATAACCCATTCATATATATATATATATGTATTTAAAAAAAAACAAAAGACTAAACTGTATTTAAACATATCAAAACGTGACTAAATCGAAAAAAGTTTGTATTTACAAAATTACACCTGCTTTTTTTTATAAATATATCTGCAGTAAAAATTCACAACCGTACATTTACTCTAATCTTAAATGCTGCATTTGGGGATCTTATCGCCGACAGGTTGTGGACGCGCATAGCCATTAACAAAAAAAAACATTGTTATTTTTGAAAGTATTCAATAGTCTGCCTTATGTTAGCCTGCTGCATATTATGGCTTGGGTGCGTCGGGCACTCGGGGGTTTCGTCCCAAAGGTTTTTTCGTATACGGTGTCTTGCGCCCCTCAGTAAACTGCGTGCGGTCTTCCACTGTGGGTCTGGTAAAAATTCTGTCACCGAAAATAGATGGCTTTCTATGTAGCAAAAGTAATATGTAAACTATTTACACCGTAAATGCACGTTTTAATGGTTTGTAAAAGTTAATGATTTTCCAGCATCTGTTTTTAAGTGAAGGATATTTATTTAATAATTGCAGTCTGTCTGGATGAAATTTATTCAAACAGATAACAAAGATATTAAAAAAGAAAAATATGTCTGTTGTGTTCAAAATTCGACCAGTCGGATGTCTCCATCCGTTTCTTGACATACATTACAGTTTTGAATTAAAAAATTAATTTTCCTACTAGAATGCACTTCAATTTCAGCCTGCATATATATATTATATATATGTACGAATGTATTTTTATGTATGTATATATATTGTAATAAAGGCACACAAATAAAATGTCGGGATAGCTAAGCAACGGGAACCGATAGTTAAATTCTGTGCTGACAATGCACATAAATACTTAAAAATACAAAGATTAAGAGTGATTTATAAAATCACGAGTTTCTTGTGGTGATGCCATTACTTTATTATTATTCCAATAAGCCGTACTTTCGGATTAAGCTCACCGCAATGCCATAAGGCCACCGGATCAAACAAAATCGATACTGGGAGAGGCACTCCACGGCAACGGGTTGTTCGACGTGGACGTCCTCTCCGCCATCCCTTCTAGAAACCAAACTAAAAAGTCTGCCACGTACAAAATACAAAACCACAAAGACGACTCGTCTCGACAGTTGAAAGCGTCGCAGAGTACGACCGACGCCCCGCCTCTCGCGGGACGCGCGTCCGAAGAAAGCCAGTCTCTCGATCTCTCATTACTGAATCACGCAACACTTACACTTTGGCTTTTTCTTTATGACCACCTGCTCCACTTGTGGGGCATCAGAGGGCGGCGCGACGATCCCGCGACGGACCTCCACCACACCGGGCTCCGCCGGCCCCGCATCCTTTGGCGCGCTGCCGTTGGCACCCGCCTTTCCGCAGTCTGGGGTGCCGGTGCCAGTCCCGGTCCCAGCTGGGACCGCGCCACCCCCATCCACCATCTCAGAGACCCCTCCAGCAACGTGGTCCGTCTGTTCCTCCGGTGCCGACAGAACCTCCCGCGACTCGGTGGTAGGAACAGGCACCTCCGGCCCGCTCCCAACGGGCGTGATGGGCTTGCCTTCCTTTATGAGGCTGACAATGGTGTCGGCCTCGCGGCTCAGCTCTCCGTCTGGCCGGAACGGATTGTCGATTCCGCCGTCGACGCTGGAAAAGAGAGGAAAATAATTATAATCTGCTGCAAGGTCTCAGACCAACTGCCTAAATTAACAAATCATGCTTAAATCTAACGTGGCGAGAGTCCCTGTTCGACACAGTACAATAAAGAAGCCGAGTAATAACACAAGAACACTCGTTAACACGCTCGTTAGGCCGGAAATAAGTCGTCGCGATCGCCCTCTTAGGCGTCGAGAGAAGGATGTCGGCAGCAGACAATCGACTCCTCCCGCACGCAATTTGTTAACGCAACATCATTTGACATTTTCGCGTAACGAACGTCTCCGCGTCGTTGAATACGTAATTGGAGGGGGTGGGGCGCGAGGCGTCGTCCGGCCTCCCCCTCCCGTAATTAGCCGTTCAGTCGGAGACGTGGGACGAAACCGACGGAAGAATCCGGAATTGCGATGCTGCGTCACTTCTGCTTGGCGGCCATGTTGTGACTCGCCATCCCCGTCGTCCGGTCGGCGAAGAAATGCTTACTCACTCACCCTTTCCTCGGGACCATCACGTAGTAGACGTGAAGTCGAGCGTCCACAGCGGCCATATCTTGGGTCATCGGGCTATAACGACGTGTTCGTTACGTCGGACGACCGCCGAACGACGTTCTAGCGCGCGCGCCGCACGAGAAAAAGGCGAGCGCCCTCACCGGCAGCATCGCTATTTATAGCCGAGCATCGATTTGCCGCGGGAGATGCGACGTCGCTTCACGCGACTACTGGACTTAATCCAAAATCCCGACCGATTATTATTTTCTAAAAATGAGGGAAGTGACGATACTCACCTCTGCTGCCTTTCGTAATTTGGCGATTGCACTTCCGATGACGCCGACATGACGGGAAGATAGACGTCCAGAGGTACGTCGGGAGATTCGGGTGTTGTAACGTAGTGTGGACGCTGCGATTCGAAGAACGATACGCGAACCTTGGATGGCGGATTTGCGGGCTTTCCGTTACTGGAAGGAAGAAAAAGATCAAACTGCGGGATACAGACACCACTTTTTTTCTTTTCTTTGCGAGAGCCGGTTATTTCGATACCAGAAGCGTGTGTGTCGCTTCTACTCTATACACAGACACACAGACCTTTCCGCGGGAAGGACGTGGGAACTTATACTCAGCTTCCTCGCGTCTATTGTCCATGTTGGTTCCCATGCGGAAAAGGAAATCGTCGCTTCCGTTTCGGAAACTTATCCTTTTTATATTATTAATCGTGGCGCCCGCCTTCAACTTCGAGCGGCGACTAGGGGGATAAAGCTTCTTATTCGAGAATCACGTGACGGGAAACAAAATTAAATCCACAGGCGGTTCGAAAGAAACCCGATAAAGTCACTTCGATTCGCACGCGTACAGGCCACGCGTGACGAATTCTTCGTGTCGAAAATAAAAGACTCCATGGTTCGGAACCGAATTAATGTCGATTAAAGTATCGTCGTCGAAAACGTGACGTCAGCGACTATCGCTAAGCAACAAACGAAATGGGACTAACAGGTCTCGTGCGGATGATCAAACCGCATTTAAACGGGTATATATCGTAAGATACTAAACCTGAAATAAACCAGAAAGACGATCTTCCTGTACGGATATCGCATAACGAGTTAAAGAACCGATTAACAATTAGCAGCTGTCTTTATTTTTTTAATCGTCATCAATCACATCGTCCGTCACAAATTATCGCGCATCGCGCCACCTGGAATGGTTTCTGTAATGGTCGGGCGTCAAATTTTTAATAATAATAATAAACAAACGTCGTGACACATGTAATGTGCGCACCTTTCTGGAAAGGGTACAGATTAGAGGAGAAAAAACGATTAGAAAACAGAAATGAAATTCCTTCCCGCAAATATCGATCAATCGACGAATTCAATTAAAAGAGATTTTTCGACCAGCGGCAAGCGGGAAAAAGGATGTGCAATCAGTTCGTGCCACACCCAGTCGGCAGCGTGGCATACACACACAAAACAACAGGGTAGAGATTCGACTAAACACGATAAATATTAAACGAGATGCTGCATTTAACTCGTTTAGAAGCGGCAGGATGCGGATACGAATGGCTTACCTGTCTTAAATGGCCTCGTCGCCTATTAGATATGGCCGCCGTTTCTTATCCTTTCACCCACGTTTCCGATCGCTTACACTACTGCTACATAAACTAAGGAATAAAAGAGGTTTTTATCGAGTTGTAAAACTCGAACGGAGGGAACCAGTCTCGCCCACGTGCCTGACTCGACCTTGTGTATGTAAGATTACGCTTTAAAGTAAAAATCCGAACGAACCGACACGTTAACCACAACTAAAACGAGGATATCGGGCGGGAGGAAGTGGGACTAGGCGATTTTGCTAGGTGAGGGGGTGTGCGGTGAATGACTCTTTCAGACATTCGTGTGTTTAGAAATGTGTTAACAGGTGCACGAGCCGCAACCGAAATAACGAATACGGTAATTGGACGAAACATTCTTCCCTACTTCGTATTTTATCATCTCCCTCACTTGAGATATATACGGTTTATTTGAGTGCTTTAAAAAAATTTTGGAAATATTTTAATAATCACGTCTCCTTTTCGAATTCAACAAAATCGACAATGCGGCAGCTGATTCACGATTTTATTGCCTTTTGTGACCTCACAAACGAATATTTAGAAAAACAATGGAAGAAAGGCGTGATGTCACGAACCCATAGGTTTTGGAAGCTAAATTTTCACGAACAAATCAACCCCGAAATTTTCATAAAATTTTATATAATTTTATTTTATCGCAAAAGTTACGAAATAACTTCGTAACATAAACTAAAGGCAAACATTTTCACACGACCGCTACTATCTAAAGACTAGCTAGTATCGTCACTAATCTGAGTTTATTTTTGAACTAGTTATTCGGCTGGGCCGCCCGCAAACTCGATTACTGATTCCTCGCGTCACGTTCGAGGAATTTTCCATAAGAAAAAAAAGAGGTAAAAAAATGGCACATCCCCGTTTACGGCGTAACTCTTCGAAATTACCAGTTACGTGTGTTAAACAATAAATAAGGGCTTGATCATCGAAACGATCTTTAAAAAAAATAAAAAAAAGTGAAAGGGAGGATATTTTTCAACATACTTTGCCTAACGTTTTAGCACCGCTCCATTTTTAAGAGTTATCTTCTTCGTGCGCACATATTTTTAAAAGGTGATAAACCCGCAATCTTTATCGTATCAAAAATGTAAACGAAACAGAGTTCATAATTTCAAATCATTTTTTCCCCTAAACAATTTTTTGGAAAGATTCTTTGGCTTCTTAACGATTTCCTCCCCTTATAATTCCTTAGAGCGTAAAGTTTCGATGACCTTTAACGTTAAATAGCAATTTTTTTCATACGTGACAAATAGACGCAAAAGCAAAAAAGCTTGCCACATCTGGATATACACATTTTAATTACAACGGCTTCGTTGTTACTTTTTATTGATATCGTTTACGATGTAGTTAAGATCAGCCTTGACCTATATATTTATAACATATAGCGTCGCGTCAGGAGTCAAAAGTTCAATATTCCGATTCTCACGCTTGGACTTTCTATCGTCGACATAAAAAATAAAATAAAATAAAATTCGATTCCTTTTTTCTGATGAAAATGGCCGTCGGTCTCTTTTACTTTCTAGACAGGAAGTCGAAAAAGTCACTTCGCTTCCGTCCTTGACCTTATTCGGCCCCCGGCTTTGGGTCGTCGAACTAGTTAAATCGCGCGTGCGTTTCCAATAATTTTACGACGCAAATACTTTTGTTCGGCCGGCTGCTGTTCGCCCGTCGAAGTTGTTCGATTTGACTCCCCCTAAATGCATCCGCGTTTATGTGTAATGCTGGATTAAAATTAAACAGTTATGTTGCATTTTATAAACAATGTAATACAAACCATTAATGTCGTCGTGCGTTCGCATGTTTTTGAAACGTAATACGTGAAAATACAAAACAACGTGGAGCAAATATTTCAGATTTTATTTCAATAAAATTATTTTAAAACATTCCAAATTTTGAAATATAATAATAATTATTGAAAAGTGAAATACAAAATGAACACAAGTTATTTAAAGTAATGTTAGATTTAGAAATAAAAAAAATTATCAAAATAATTTATTTTTTATTACTGGGTCTGGCAACATTTAATCAAAATTATAATAAAAATAAAAATATAATTAATAAT